CAATGGAACAGACTAGAGAGCCCAGATATAAACCCAACCATATATGGTCAATGAATATATTATAAAGGAGTCATGAATATACAATGGAGAAAAGACAGCCTCTTCAACAACTGGTGTTGCGAAAACTGGACAACTACATGTAAGAGAATGAAACTGGATTATTGTCTAACTCCATACACAAAATTAAACTTGAAATGGATCAAAGACCTGAATGTAAGTTGTGAAACCATAAAACTCTTAGAAGAAAATGTAGGTGAAAAAATCTCTTAAAAATGAACATGAGCAACTTTTTCCTGAACACATCTCCTTGGGCAACAGAAACAAAATAAAAAATGAACAAGTGGGACTACATCAAACTAAAAAGCTTCTGTACAGCAAAGGACACCATCAACAGAACAAAAAGGTATCATATAGTATGGGGGAATATATTAGTAAATGATTTATCTGATAAGGGGTTAACAGACAAAATATATAAAGAATTCATATGCTTCAACACCCAAAAAACAAATAACCTGATTAAAAAACAGACACTACTCCAAAGAAGAAATCCAGATGGCCAACAGGCACATGAAAACATGCTCCACATTGTTAATCATCAGGGCAATGCAAATATAAAACCACAATGAAATATCACCTCACAACAGTTAGGATGGCCACTCTCCAAAAGACAAGAAATAACAAATGCTGGTGAGGATGCAGAGAAAAGGGAGCCCTCCTACACTGCTGGTGGGAATGTAAACTGGTGCAACTGTTGTGGAAAGCAGTATGGAGGTTCCTCAAAAAACTAAAAAAAGAAATACCATTTGACCCAGGAATTCCACTCCTAAGAATTTATCCAAAGGAAACAAGATACTTGATTAAAAAAAGACATAGGCACCCCTATGTTTATTGCTGCACTATTTTCAATAGCCAAGATAAGGAAGCAACCTAAGTGTCCATCAACAGATGAATGGAGAAAGAAGAGGTGGTACATATATACAATGGAAAATTATGCAGCCATGAAAGGAAAAGAAATCCTTTCATTTGCAACAACATGGATGGAATTAGAAGGCATTATGCTCAGTGAAATAGGCCAGGCAGAGAAAGACAAATACCAAATGATTTCACTTATTTGTGGAGTATAAAAATAAAGCAAAACAGAAGGAACAAAATAGCAATAGACCCACAGTAACCAAAAAGGGTCTAGTGGTTACCAAAGGGGGGTATATAGGGAGTATGGTGGGGGAGGGGAAGAGGATTAGGGAGCACAACAATTCGCAGTCATAATGTAGGTAGGTCACAGGGATGGTAGTGCAGCATGGAGAATGCAGTTAATGATTCTATGGCATTTTGCTATGTTGATGGATGGTGGTCCCATTGGAGTGGGTGAGGACTTCATGGCATGGGTAAATGTTGAACCACAGTACTGTGTACTTGAAACCAACGTAAGATTGTATATCAATGATACTTTAATTTAAAGAAAAAAGGCTACTTGGTGAAAAAATAATTTGAACAAAAGAAAAAAAAAGGTAGGGTTCATTCATCCAGCAATATGTATTTATTATTTATTAAGTACTTACTATGTATCAGGCACTGTTCTAGGCAATGTGAGATACACTAGTTACCAATGTAGGCACTCTTGTAGGGTGTACATTCTAGAGGGGGAAATGGCAATAAATAATCAGTTTAATAATTAAATAAAATATATATGGTAGAAGGGGATTGGTTCTATGGAACCTGAGAGATTTCAATTCAGCAGTATATTTTGAACATCTCCTAAATGCTGGGAACAAAATCAAGAAAATCAACATGTGTGGCTATGTGTAACTCACAGTGAGGTTATAGAATAAGTGGTACAACTAGGAGTTAACGCCAGAGTCTTGTTCTGCAACCGATGCTGACATCCTTAGCAAGCACGTCCTAACACTTTTTTTCCTTTAAACATTCAGCACAAGAATTTCCCCTTACGTGAAGACTTGCTTGGGCTCTCCCCTGAATCCTTGTCCCCTTCCTACCTGCCACCAGTGTGGCCTTGACATGGCCCTCAAGAAGCGTTTTGTGCTCTGCGCTGCCATTGTTAATTTATAACATCTGTTCACAAGGAGCTCCCTGTGACTGGGAATTGTTTTATTTATCTTTATATTCTCGTGCCAATGATTTTGATCATCTGTAACAGGAACCTGATTAAACAGTGGTATCAGCAAATGTGTGGTTGATTATTTCCTCAGGCAACAAGAAATCGGGAAGAGGGTGCTTTGCTGGTAGTTGTTGGCTCATTGCCTCGGGGATGTCATGGTTGAAGTGACTCCAGCAGTCCCACCGCTGTGCAGGCAGGAGGAAAGGTCCTAGGGCAGGAAAGCAAAGCCTCTTCAGATAGTCCTGGCAGTCCTCCATTCATCTCATTGGGTGGACTGTGCCACATGACCACCTCTAGTTGGAAGGGACGCTTTAAAATGTTTTTTAAATTGAGCACAATGCTACCTGAACAAAGTCAGTGTTTGCTAGTAAAGAAGAAGGGGAAAGTGAGTATTGGAAGTATCTAATATTATCTGCCTCAGTCCCTAATATAAAGAACAGCACTTAGCACCATACTATGGAGAAAGCACTCAATAAATATTAAATGAATCCATGAATGGGTGAATGAGTAAATCGCTTTTTGGTTCGTATCACATGATCTGAGAATCTTCTTAGCCAATAGAATGGACATCTTTGCTAAAATGGTATCAGAGAAAATATCAGTTGTCTATCAGTTATCACTGTGAATGTATGTATGTACGTCGTATGTTTGTGCGTGTGCTTGTGTTTGTGGAGATGGAGAGAGAGAGTGGGAGAAAGGGGGAGAGAGAGAGAGGGAGGAACAAGGGGAGAAACAGATACAGATATCTCAAGCAGTAGTTTTTCTTTTTCCTGAGGAATCACTCTTCCTCTAATGTATTTTGAGAAAAAAGGAAGGCCGTTTCACAACTGCTCCCGGGTTGTCCACCTGGCTGCCATCCCCAGTTTCCCATTCCAGTGGGCACAGCTCCCACCGCATGATGCTGCGCTCTGGCTTGGCACTGCGCAGCTGGGGGGAATGGGGCAGGGCCACACTTGCCCCTTTCTTTCTGTGCTCTGCGCAACCATCACCCAGGTTGAACAAGTATATTGGATTTGAGAAAGGGTTGAGCTAACTACATTCATCTCACTCAACAAATACTTTTTGAGCACTTAATATGTGCCAGGCATTATACTAAGTGCTGGGTGTATAAAAGTAAAGAGCCATGTCCCTTGTAAAGCTTAGAGTACAGCAGAGGAAAGGACTAGAAAAATCAAAACCCAAATCCATAATTTCGAGTTGTGATGATGGGCTATGAAAGAAAAGGAGAGGGTGTGTTGGACAGAATAATAGACTATTTTAATGGGGCTTGAAGGAGGTGTCAGGGCAGGCCCCCTAAGATAGGGATAGTTAGAGGGATACCTGTACCTATATTCAGTCCTGGGGAAATCAGTACAAGGGGGTTAACAAAAAAGAGGGGGAAGGGCACGATACAAGAGAGGGAAAGGCTTTCCCTGAAGGAGGAACAAGGCTGGCAGTGTGCCTTTCAGACACCTTTATGCACACATTAGAGTACAAACACTTATAGACAAACAATTTCACATAAATGGGATCATACTGTACTTACTCTTTCTAACTTGCTCTTCACCAGGTCATTAATGTGAATGACCACTAATTGGTAGGTTGGGTGTTTTTTTAGATCCAGTTTTTGCTGTTCTGGTGGCTAATTGATATAGACTTCCTGAAGTTGTCAATCACAAAAGAATGGGAAAAGAAACGTGCCTGGGAAAAAAACAAAAAACAGCAACATTGAAGAAGAGATGAGCAGAGGAAACCCTGCAAAAGGAGACAGAGGAGTAACCAGGAAAGCAGTAGGAAAAATTGAGAGTCCTGGTGCCAAGTAAGATCATTAAAAGGACGGAGAGCTCCTCAGTAGTCAATGTGCCAGAGGTAAAAAAGAAAAAACCGACAAGGGTCCTTCTGGTCCAGCAACACAGATGTCACGGGTGGACTTACTAGAGCAACCCCTCGGAATAAGGGGTACAGAGCCTGGTTTCAGTAGTCTGGGGAGTGGGAGGTGGAAAACGAGAGATTAAAAGTGTAGACAATTTTTTTACGCCATTTGGCTCTGAAAGGAAAAGAGAGTGGTGGCTGGAGGGAGATTTTGCGCAAGGCAGGAGTTTTCTTGTGGGAGGGAACCGATAAAAGAGGGAGACGCTGGAGACAGGGCTGTTCCCTAACCAGGGCCTGTTCCTGGGTGGACGAGCTAGCTGGATTCAAGATCTAAAGGAAGGTAAGGGCGCAAGCCTTGGACAGCACTGAGGTCCAGAATGAGTCGCCAAAAAGGGTGGTTGGGAGCTAACCTGAGGTCTCAAGAATCTAAACTGTACTCAGAGGAGGTCCAGGCCCAGGCCAGCTGAGGGCCTGAAGCCCCACCCACCCTCTTGGATGCCTCTCCGGGCCATAGAAACCACGGTTGTCTTGGGTGTAGCCTTAACCGGTCCAACAACAGGTGTGTTATTTCTGTTCCAGAAACCAGTACTGTTTATCTTCTAGAGCAGTGGCTCTCAAACTTTAGCTTGTATCGGAATCACATGGACAGCTTGTTAAAACAGGTTACTGGATCCTACCTCCAGAGATTGAGATTCAGTAGGTTAAAGATGGATCTTGATAATCTGCATTTCCAACGCGTTCCCACGCAATCAATGACTACAAGCGCAGCACCCAAGTAGAAATCAATATACCGCTCCGCGCATGAGTGAGGAGTCCTGGGTGCCTTACCGAAGGGCGTCTCCTGCGCAAGAAACAGCGCTTTCTCTCCCGCTGCCTGGTTCAGGCTTACGGAGTAGGTAAGCGATGGTTGCAAACTGCACGCTCCGCAGCAGCGGAGCTCTAGGGTGCGCTCTTCACAGTGCCTGTCCAGCTCCCAGCCGGCCTGCGCCTGCGTCTGCGCCTGCGCCTGCGCGGGGATTCGGCGCTCTATGAAGTTGGGCCAGACCTATCCGACGCTTGCGTACTCGGAGTAAGATGGCGGCGGCGGTGGCTGCCCGGTTAGGCGGTGCTGCTGCTGCGGCCGCTGCCGTGGGGCTCAGCAAGCGGTAGGTGATGTGCCTGGAGCTGCGTATAGGGATGCCTTCGGGCTTCGCCAGCAGGAGAGGCGCCGTCCCGCCCACCCTCCCGCAGATATAGAGGGGAGAAGTACCTCTGACCGACCAAGCCTTGGGGGCCGCCCTGTCACTGCAGTTGGGGTTGAGCTTTGAGGTGGGCGGCCAGAGGTGTGGCGGCTCCGCACCCCCAGTTCGGGCGGACTCTGCAGTGCCTCCTCCGAGGCCCTGAGACCCGGTGCTTGAGTCCCTGCGGTAGGGAAGCTCGCCAGAGACTGTAGAAACTGAATGGCAGAGCTGTTCTTAAATCGTGTGGCCCCTCCAGCCCTTCCACCACGTGCATGCACCCCTCTGCTTTTTAAACACAAAATCAGAATGTCATACAGAATGGAAGAGAGTATCTCGTCTCATTTACTCACTCTGTGTGAGGCCCAGAAAGGGGATATGACCAGTATGAGGTCACAGCTAGTACGTGATGGAACTCTGATGCGAATCCAGACACCTAGATTTTCTCTCCCGTCACCTAAACCCACTCTGTTCCCTTGTTTTTACTCCTCCCGGACGCCCTCCCTCTAGGTTTGGCCTCCCAGTGACATGAGGAATACAGTAGTCCCCAGTGTCGCTTTGGAACACAACGAGAAAAGGGCCTAACCGGCCTGACCTCGTGTTAGGAGTTTTAGCGCTAAATGATGCCTTTGAAGCTTAAATGCTTTCCCCCAAAAAATTCATTAGTAAAACGATTATTTGTTAGTCACCTCCTGTCTCCCTCACATGTTTGAGTAGATGATTTCCTGGAATAATTTAACTCAACCTTTGTTATTTTGTTACTTTAAGCCCAGCACTGTCAGACTATTTTTCCATTCTGGTGCCTTTTTCCTGGACCAGAGGGACAAAAATACTGTTCTTCCAGTGTTATTTCCATATTTCAGGATATTCAAGATTTAGGCAGTAAGCTGCATAAGAAACTGAGCTTAAAAGGTTGCCTCTTAAAATGCCATTTTTATTTGTTTTTAAATGTAGATTCTTTTACATGATCAAAATTTTCACACCCTTGAACTTCATTCAGTAATTAATTATTGGGGACCTATCAAATAACACTGGTAACTAACATTCCTTGAACACTTACTATATAGCACTCTTCAAGGATTAGTTGGATCCATCTTTGCCCTTTGAATATTCATTATTGAAATGCAGAACTGAGGCCATGGTGCTAGATGCTAGAGATACAGAAATGAAGACAGTCCTTCCCCTTAATGAATTTGCAGATGAAAATAAATGTTAAAAAAAAGTGGTCATATATATACTTAAAAATTCTTCAATGTTTCCTGTAAAACAAAAATTATAATGGATGGCAATAGCAATAGTTTTTTTAAACAATCTGGATTTTAAAGTAACATCAGATTTCTAAAATCTTTCACTACTAAAGTCTCCTTTTATTTCCTTTTTCCATAATAATTTGCTTTTCCCTTCTCCCTTTGTTTTCAGTTTGTCAAAGCCGTGAAAAAATAGCCCATCGACACCTCGGTCGGAGTGAAATAACCAAAGTTACAACACGGGGTTAATATTTTTCTAGTCAAAACATAACACAGATTGTTGGCTTCTTCAGCAGTTTGGAGAACAGTATACTTTTTATTGGACTATTTGAAATAATGATGTACCTTTCAAAACAAGTAGTATAGATTATCTCTAGGGAAACATGGTAGAGACAGAAAAAGAGGGAGACATTGTACTGTATTTTGTTTGAACCATATAATTCTTATTACATAATTTTTAAAAATGTTAAAAAGGGAAAAACGGTTTATAGTTCTTTTGAGTCTTTCATACAGCTAAGAGGGACTCCAGGTTATAAATCACTAACGTAGATATTTTTCTGTTTCTTAACACTGGGTATTGCACTATTCTTTGTCTACTCAGTTACCAACGCTATACATTTCTACTTGAGCTCTTGTTTCTAAACTGTAGATAGGCTCATATAAAAAAGTGAAAATAATGTGGATGGAAAATAAAAATTTGGCTTTGTTATGGCTTTGAGAAACGGGAACAGCTTAAAAGACTCTTTAAGTGTCATTTTAACTTTTTATTAAGGTATTGATATACAATCTTATGAAGGTTTCACATGAGCAACATTGTGGTTACTACATTTCACCCATTTTAATTTCTTTTTAAATGTAGATTCTTTCACATGAATTCATACACCATTAAGAAACAGCCTTTGCATCAGTTTATACAAAGACCAGTTTTCCCACTACCTGCAACCTTATATTACACAGGTAAAATTTCACTTCTTTTTGAGTATGTTGTGTTTCAGAAGCTAATGAAACTGCTTGAATGAAATTTTAGGGGTCATAAAAGATGAGAATTTGTCAGTTTTCTTTCAGATGCCTATAATAGGAACATAGCATTTTTTCCTATCATAACAACACACTTTATCTAATTATTTCTTATACATTTCATTGGCATAAGATTTTGAGAATCCTGAACACAGTGTCCAATAGTTCTGTGAAATCTCAAGGACTTGTATAATACATACTCTGAAACATAAGAGTTGCTCAATAAATGATTTCTGAAATGAAAATATTATAAAAGTTACACATGGGTTTGTGTCAAATAATTGTGTATTTTAAGTTACTGCCCTCCTTATTTTGGTAAGAATACCCCTAAACTCAATAAATTTCTAGCTTTTATCCAGGCCTTAGAACATAGTACTTGAGTGTAGTTTTTCTTTTGTCAAAATAAATCACTGATTTTGTTGACAATCTTGTTGATGTTAAATGCTTATATTTTCTTCAATATTAGAAAAGGTGTGAAGATAGGATTTGAAAATTTTTGAAATGTGACCACTGTCATATAGTTAGGGGATCTTGGGAGGAGGATGTGTGTGTCTGTATGAATGCCTATCTACTTGTGTGTGTGCTTATGGAACTGTAAGAGTTTGTATTCAGCTTTTGTTCCATTTCTGTTACTACCAAGAACACCTCCCTGTGGCCATACTCTGGAGGGTGGTTGTCTTTGGCTAATGGAATGAGTTGAATCAGGATACAGACCTTCCCTTCCCTATATATTGAGCAAGAACAGGAGTGCCTTGTGACTCCTTGAATCACAGAATGATTTAGGTATACATACTGAGTAACTTAGTATGTTAAGTTACTTTAATTGGATTTTAAATTTTGTACGACTGGATTATGTAGTCATCTAGACTTTTTAAATTGGAAACCTGCTGATTTTAGCCTTTGATACTGACTTTAAGCACCATTAGTCTAAATTTTGTGGGAGTTTATGCCCACCTATTTTCCTATTACATATTAGTATTAAGCAAAATAAGAAAATTTATTATAGGTCAGTCTCCTTATCCTTTTGTAACCCTTGTGACACTTTTAGGGGCATTTTCCTGGACTATAGACCTGGGAGTCATTTTTGAAATGCCTAGTTGAATGCAGTTTAAACTATAATTGTAATGATTTTGTTAATACCTAGTCAAATCACTCTTTTAGAATAGCATTTGTTCATGTCAAAAGAGAAAATTTATGTAATGATGTCATATGTTGTATTTTCTACTTCAGACAGTATATATATAAGATTATGCTCTCTTAAATTTTTTTACATTTGTAGTTTTTGCCTTCAAATATTTCTAAAAATTTTTCTTCTTGCATGTGTAGTTTTACACAAATAGAATGAATAGAATAAAGATTTAATTCTTCAAGTATTGATGGAGTGCTTAATGTGTGCAGAAATTTTAGTTACCAATAAATTATTAAGAAAGGCTACAAGAAATGATTGGCCAGAAACAGGGTTTAAGAAAATCTTGTTTTTATTTTTATAGAAATTGGTGGCAATCTTTTGATTAATGTTTCATCTGAAAAATTGTCCCCTTGTAACACTGATGAATTTTCAGAGGAATTTATTGGTTGGAGGTATAAATATTTTAAATCAAGTACTTGGATATTGAGATTATCATTATTAATTTTTCACTTGTAAGATTTGCCTGGTCACTAAGTCACCAACTGATATCTCTGTAGGAAAAGACTTAAGTAAAACGTATGGGAGTTTAGTTTCAGTTCTTCTTCACCAAGGAAATAACTCAGTATCAGTTAGCTGGAACTGCATGGTGAGGTGCATTAACAACTCTCAGCCTTTGATTAGAATATTCTCTTTTAATGCTTAAAAAAAGCCCTTCCATTACCAACCATATGTTTTGCCAAATTTAATCTCTCTCTAATTTGAAATAAAATAGTTGGTTTTTGGTATTTTGTAATCTTTCCTAAAATTCATGGTATGAGGATTATGACAGGATAGAAGACTTATCGTAAATATATTTTCCTATTATGCTTGGCACTATTAAGTATGGAGTGGCAGTTTGCAAGTAAGTGCTGGAAAATTGGCCAGGCTTGAGTCCTGGCTCTTTCACATAATTAGCTGAGTAACTTTGAGTTTTAGTTCCCTCATATATAAATAGGATAAAAACAATGCCCTTTTGGGAGGATGTAAGGATTAAATGATACAGTTCATGTAGAGTGCTTAGCATCATGCCAAGCACATGGTATTTACTCAATAAATTAACGTATTTCAATATACTGCTCTAAAGTGAGATTTTTTTTCTTGTCAGAAGATGTATTTTCAAAATAATCAGGGCCTGTTTAGTTTTAAAACTATTAAAACCCCAGTGTATCCTCATGTCCCATAAGCTGTTGTCATTAATAGCAAGGTAGGAATTTGAAGATTTTGTTCTTTCTTTATAGCTTTAATGAATTCATTCTAAATCTAATCATGGCCCTGAAAGAAACAGAAGAAAAGAACCTGTAAATATAATTTTTAAATATTCAGAAAGTAATTCACATACAGTCCAACTTAATGATAATTTATAGTATCACTATAGCACTATAGACAAATTACTTATCGTTAAATCTCATTTCTTCATTTGTAAGATAGGAATAATGGAATCTTCCTCATATATGGAGTTATCAAAGGCTTAGTTAGATATATTTAAAGTACTTGACCCTGCCTCTGGCATGTAGTAAGTAAACACACAGTAAATATTAGTTGTTATTATAAATTTATTTGTTTTTAAAAGAATTACTTGTAAGATTTGCCTGGTCACTAAGTCACCAACTGATATCTCTGTAGGAAAAGACTTAAGTAAAACGTATGGGAGTTTAGTTTCAGTTCTTCTTCACCAAGGAAATAACTCAGTATCAGTTAGCTGGAACTGCATGGTGAGGTGCATTAACAACTCTCAGCCTTTGATTAGAATATTCTCTTTTAATGCTTAAAAAAAGCCCTTCCATTACCAACCATATGTTTTGCCAAATTTAATCTCTCTCTAATTTGAAATAAAATAGTTGGTTTTTGGTATTTTGTAATCTTTCCTAAAATTCATGGTATGAGGATTATGACAGGATAGAAGACTTATCGTAAATATATTTTCCTATTATGCTTGGCACTATTAAGTATGGAGTGGCAGTTTGCAAGTAAGTGCTGGAAAATTGGCCAGGCTTGAGTCCTGGCTCTTTCACATAATTAGCTGAGTAACTTTGAGTTTTAGTTCCCTCATATATAAATAGGATAAAAACAATGCCCTTTTGGGAGGATGTAAGGATTAAATGATACAGTTCATGTAGAGTGCTTAGCATCATGCCAAGCACATGGTATTTACTCAATAAATTAACGTATTTCAATATACTGCTCTAAAGTGAGATTTTTTTTCTTGTCAGAAGATGTATTTTCAAAATAATCAGGGCCTGTTTAGTTTTAAAACTATTAAAACCCCAGTGTATCCTCATGTCCCATAAGCTGTTGTCATTAATAGCAAGGTAGGAATTTGAAGATTTTGTTCTTTCTTTATAGCTTTAATGAATTCATTCTAAATCTAATCATGGCCCTGAAAGAAACAGAAGAAAAGAACCTGTAAATATAATTTTTAAATATTCAGAAAGTAATTCACATACAGTCCAACTTAATGATAATTTATAGTATCACTATAGCACTATAGACAAATTACTTATCGTTAAATCTCATTTCTTCATTTGTAAGATAGGAATAATGGAATCTTCCTCATATATGGAGTTATCAAAGGCTTAGTTAGATATATTTAAAGTACTTGACCCTGCCTCTGGCATGTAGTAAGTAAACACACAGTAAATATTAGTTGTTATTATAAATTTATTTGTTTTTAAAAGAATAGTCACACTTTGGAAGAAGAGAATATACCAATTTACTGTATTAATACCACATTGATGATAAATTATGATTCTGATGGCTGTTGGTACTAAGTCACCTATAGAATACATATAAGACTCCTGAATTATGATATGATATGCCTTCCTACTTAAGTGTAGAATATTGCTAGTATCTGTTGAGTAATGAAACGAAATAAACAGTATTAATATAAAATTGGCTACAGTTATCCTAAATGTATTGGTAATTTTTTTTTTCTTTTAAAATTCTCATTTTGTCAGCTTGGACAATAAAGCCATTTCTCTTTTCTAATTTTTTCTCATTTCTTTTGGTTCTCATAGTCCATCAACTTGTGAACTATTATTTTTTTCTAGAATAACATTCATTCTTCTTTTCTCTCTTTTAGTGAGATACATGTTTATTCAAACACAAGATACTCCAAATCCCAACAGTTTAAAGTTTATTCCAGGAAAACCAGTTCTTGAGACAAGGACCATGGATTTTCCCACACCAGCTGCAGCATTTCGCTCCCCCCTGGCTAGGTATATTACCATTTTTCATTTGCTTTTACCAAGAAGCATAACTGACTTTGGGGTTAAGGTAATCTCAGTTAGCCATTACATTTTTATGTGCATTGCATTATTTTTCAGTATAGAAAATACTTTATCTTCTTTTCAGATGAGAGATAAGGAAAAATAATACCGATTATTGATATTAGGAAATCCTCCTGAAAAGTTATGTATTTGATAGAGATGAAGCATGACTAAATAAGAATTTATATTTTTACTTAAGAAAAAAATCTGTTAAAATGATAGTATAAATTTCCATTCTAAATCTTTAAAACTGTTTTTAAAAAAGTGAAAATTTGCTCATTTTATTCTTAAAGATAGCTGAATTTCTGGATGTTTCAAAATGGATTATTTTCTAAAATATTCCACTCAGAACTATAAATGATAATAGTTATGCGGCATGATTTTCAAAAAACTACTCAGTGGAGACAGTTTTTAAATTCACTAAAGAGATGTTAAATGTATATCAGTAAAGCACAAAAGATAAAATTATTAGAATGAATCTCTTTTTAACTGATAGCTAGGGAAATTATTTATAATGAGAAATATTAGAGTCAGTATCAGTTGAAATTTTTGTAACCTAAGCCTGATACTGATTGTCAGGGATATTTGAAAAATAATGCTTAGATAACTATTTCTATACATTTAGCAATTTTGTATGTCTCATATAGGGGAACCAGAATTATGCTTACTTCAGAAATGGTTTTTAAAATTTCTAATTAATAAAAATGCACATTTCTTTACTCTAAATATGCTGTTTCTCAGGGTATACCTTGTATGTTTTCACACTTTTTGTTATAAGTTGAAGAAATTTTTGTTCTATGACCCAGTACACACACAAACACACAAACACATATGTGTGAAACAAGTACTTGATGGGATAGTTTTCACCCTTACTGTGTGTAATGAATTGTATTTCCTTTCTTGTTCTCTTTATTTTATTCTGTTCTATTTTATCAGATAAAATCCTGGTCACTACATAATTGATTTCACAAGTTATTGGTGGATTTGAAAAACACTGCCTCATAGAACATTTATATGTGTACATAAAGTGTATACAAGGATGTTCACTGTTGCCTTGTGGGTAGTGTTAGCAAGTTGGAAACAACCGAAATATTCATCAGTAGAAAGAGTTTGATAAACTTTGTCCGTCTGTAGTCTGCAGATATTAGAAAGGATGACTAGGACCCATATTTACTATCATAGGATAACTTCTAAGACATACTGTTAAATGAAGAAAGCAAGTTGCAGATTAGTGAGTATAATATGGTTATAATATATATAAGAACAGAAACACAAAGTAACAAAAATGCACTGGCAAAAAGTTCTGGAAGAATACACATCAAAGTGATAACTGGATTTGAGAGGAATGATCAAGAGGCATTTTCACTTTATATGTACAGTTTGAAATGTTTACATTAAGAATGAGTTCATATATTTTGTATTAAAAAATATAAAAGTAAAAAAGCCTTAATTAATTCAGTTATAGATTATAGTTGGAGATTGTCAGATGTTCAGTTGGCAAAAGCACTTTTTAAATTAGTCTTTTGAAAGTAAACCATCCTGGATTCACAGAATTCATCATCTTCAATCAAGCAAAATTAATCTCATTTTTGTTGTTTTAGCAGAGGAATGTTTTTGCAATATGCTAGAATGTAAGTTTCATGAGGGCAGACCAGTCTCTCTTGCTCCTCATTATATCCTTCGTTCTTAGTGCAATGTTTGGTACTCAGCAAGTTTTCAAATCTTCGTTGAATAAACAAGTAATGACTGAAGGGTGAATAAACAGTAATATATCTTATGTTAGGAAGGCATTTGACTTATTTCTATCATCCTTATAGACAAAACAAAGAAATGTAAGCAGCATATAAATCTGTCTCTAGTGATATGTAATAGAGCTCTGTATCACTGTAGTTGGTATGTTTATTCAGTACTTTTTTTTATTAGCATTGAAGATACACTTTCTCAGATGGAAGGAATTGCTTATTATGTTGGGTGGCAAAATTCACTGAAATTATCAAAAGTTTTATTTTACAACTTAACTGGTGGATTTGAAAAACACTTCGTTATAGAACCTCTGAGCTGATGTTCTGTAAGCCATGCCTTATAGGACTTGGCTGGAATGATAGTTTAAACAAATAAGATAAATCTAACAGGAACAAATATTAAGCCATGAATTAAAATTTTTTAAATGAATAGCACAGTTACGGAATGGAAAAATCTGACCTTTTCAGTTACTCGTGTTAGATATGATGCAGTGCTCAAGAAAGTCAACCAAACTTTAACAGTCATAGTATCCAGCCCAAGAGAGCTAACAGTCTTTTTACCCTGAAAAAGTAAGACTACATTTGGGATATTGTGTTCAATTCTGGGTATCATGTTTTATTTTGGACATTGACAAGTTTCAGTCATCCTAAGAAAAGTAACCTAAATAGCAGAACATGTGTAATAATGTTTGAAACTCCTCTTTCAGCTTTTTCTTTCTTCTAGGGACAGAACCTATAAAATCTTCCCTAAAGCAGTCCATTTAACATGGCCTATAGATAGGGTGATTCCTTTGCATGGTCTTTTCATTTGAGGCTTTGCTAACACTGCAGATGCACAGAGCCAATCAAGGCACCTACTTACAGGTCTGTGCTCAGGTATATTGGAACATAAGATGCAGCCAAGAACCTGTGACTACTTACAAATTTAATATTGAATGGTTGTGTGAAAGATTCAGATGACATTGTTAAAAACAAATTCCTAAATAATTTCAAACCAGTAATTCAAATAGCACTTTGAGTGGTAGACAATGAAAAGGAAAACCATGCCTTTCTTTGAAGTATGTTAGCTTTTATTCCTAAAGTTATGGGAAAGGAAACTGCTCAAGAGTGTTTACTAGGTTTGGTACGTATATACATCAGTGGTTAGGGAAGAAAGGTGCATTCCAAAATCCTGGGAGAGGCTTTTGAAATTATAATCTGACTTTCTTCCCTTCACAGGATTTTAATAGTAAGCTTTATTGAGATATAATTTATATGCAGTGAAGTTCAACTACAATCCAAAGATTTTTGTTAAATATATACAATTGTATAACTGCCACTAAAATAAAAATATAGCACACTTTTTATCGCTGCAAAAGATCTCTCATTTCCCTTTAAATTGAGTGCTCTTCACCACCACGCCCTGGTAACTTTTTTTTAGCAATGACTTTTTTAAAAAATTGCATTAAAAATTTTTTTTACCATCTTTGTTGAGCTATAGCTAACATAAAACATTATGTAAATTTAAGGTATACAATGTGATGATTTGATACATGTGTATATTGCAAATGATTACCCCAATGAGGTTAATTAACAAATTTATTACTCTATTGACAACTATTAATCTCTTTTTTGCCACTAAAATTTTGCCTTTCCTAGAGTCTTATATACATGTTTAGCTTCTTTCACTTAGCATAATGCTTTTGAGAGTCATCTTTGTTTGTATGTGTCAGTAGTTTTTTCCTCTTTATTGCTGAGTAGGTCTACATTGGATGAGTATATACAATCTCTTTAATTATTTACCAGTTGACAGATATTTCCAGATTTTTTTGATGATTATAAATAAAGCTGCTATAAAGATTCCTGTGCAAGTCTTTGTGGAGCATATATTTTCATTTCTCTTGGGTAAATATCTAGGACTGGGACTGCTAGATCATAGGGTGAGAGGGTGAAACAAGATTGGCCCCAAGTTGATCATTGTTGAAGCTGATGATGGGTATTGTTCTTTTACTTTTCTCTCTCCTTTTGTATATTTTTTAACTTTTTCCATAATAAAATATTTTATTATTTCTTCTTTTTTATTTCTTCACAGGCAGTTATTTAGGATTGAAGGAATAAAAAGTGTCTTCTTTGGACCAGATTTCATCACTGTCACAAAGGTAAACATAGGATTATATAAAATAATACATAAAGTACTTTTTAGTTTTTTTCCAAGTACAATGCCCCTCCCTGTTCTCAATGTATCTTATACATACTGTTACTGAAAATCTCAAACTTACTTCTCACTTTTCTCAAGTTAATTATTTAATAGAATTTTTAAGTTGAAATTAACTATAGTCCGGATCTCTTATTTTTCAAAAGAGAACTTGAGCTTTAGAGAGTTAAATACAGTGTCCAAGATTATATAGCTAACCTACGGCAGGCCAAGACTTAACCTTGACAGGACCAGAATTCAGTTTTCTGAGTATATTTTAAGTAGTTCATTTTTTTTCATTTGTAATTGAGGTTTTATTCATTGCTTTGATATTTTTACTAACTCTTTAATAGATAGGGTAAAAAGAGAAGCAAGCATCAAACTATACATACATATGTGTGTTTATGTGTATATATGTATGTGTGTGATGTATGTATATGTATATACATGCATGTATGTATGTGGTTGACCAATAGAATGATTGAATATATAGCTCCCTCAAAGTGGGACCTTTTATCATGACATTGACACATGGTACCTATCCGGCAATACTTAAGACCTTCACAGATAAGAGAAGTGGACTGTGTAAGTTCTGCAATGCTTGGTTAACCTTTTTTTTTTTTTTTTTGGTATCATTAATATACAATCACATGGGCAACATTGTGGTTACTAGATTCCCCCCATTATCAAGTCCCCACCACATACCCCATTACAGTCACTGTCCATCAGCATAGTAAGATGCTACAGAGTCACTGCTTGTTTTCTCTGTGCTATGCTGCCTTCCCCATGCTCCCCTTACATTATATATGCTAATTATAATAATGCTTATTCCCCTCCTCCCTCCTTGCCAACCAGCCCTCCTCAGTCCTTTTCCCTTTGGCAACTGTTGGTTCATTCTTGGCTTCTGCGAATCTGCTGCTGTTTGGTTTCTTTGGTTTTTGCTTTATTGTTACACTCCACAGGTGAGTGAAATCATTTGGTACTTGTCTTTTTCCACCTGGCTTATTTCACTGAGCATGATACTCTCTAGCTAAATCCATGTTGTTGCAAATGGTAGGATTTGTTTTTTTCTTATGGCTGAATAATATTCCATTGTGTATATATACCACATCTTCTTTATCCATTCCTCTACTGATGGACACTTAGGTTGCTTCCATTTCTTGGCTATGTAAATAGTGCTACAATAAACATAGGGGTGCCTATGTCTTTTTCAAACTGGGCTCCTGCATCCTTAGGATAAATTCCTAGGAGTGGAATTCCTGGGTCAAATGGTATTTCTATTTTGAGTTTTTTGAGGAACCTCCATACTGCTTTCCACTATGGTTGAACTAATTTACATTCCCACCAGCAGTGTAGGAGGGTTCCCCTTTCTCTGTATCCTCACCAGCATTTGTGTTTCCTAGTTTTTCAATGCTGGCTGTCTTTATTGGTGTGAGGTGATACCTCATTGTGGTTTTAATTTGCATTTCCCTGATAATAAGCGATATGGAGCATCTTTTCATGTACCTGTTGGCCATCTGAATTTCTTTGGAGAAGTGTCTGTTCATACCCTCTGCCCACTTTTTTATAAGGTTATTTGCTTTTTGGGTGTTGAGGCCTTTGAGTTCTTTATATATTTTGGATGTTAACCCCTTGTTGGATATGTCATTTACAAATATATTCTCCCATACTGTAGGATGCCTTTTTGTTCTGCTGATGGTGTCCTTTGCTGTACAGAAGCATTTTAGTTGGATATAGTCCCATTTGTTCATTCTTTATTTTGTTTCCCTTGCCCGAGGAGATGCTTTCAGGAAAAAGTTGTTCATGTTTATATTCAAGAAATTTTTGCCTATGTTTTCTTCTAAGAGTTTTATGGTTTCATGGCTTACATTCAGGTCTTTGATTCATTTTGAATTTACTTTTGTGTATGGGGTTAAACAATCCAGTTTCATTCTCTTACATGTAGCTGTCCAGTTTTGCCAACACCAGCTGTTGAAGAGGCTGTTATTCCCCCATAGAATATCCATGGCTCCTTTATCGTATATTGACCATATATGCTTCGGTTTATATCTGGGCTCTGTAGTCTGTTCCATTGGTCTATGGGTCTGTTCTTATGCCAGTACCAAATTGTATTGATTACTGTGGCTTTATAGTAGAGCTTGAAGTTGGGGAGTGTAATCCCCACCCCCACTTTATTCTTCCTTCTCAGGATTGCTTTGGCTATTCGGAGTCTTTTCTAGTTCCATATGAATTTTAGAATGATTTGCTCTAGTTTGTTGAAGAATACTGTTGGTATTTTGATAGGAATTGCATTAAATCTGTAGATTGCTTTAGGCAGGGTGGCCATTTTGACAGTATTAATTCTCCCTATCCATGAACATGAAATATGTTTCCATTTATTGGTAGCTTCTTTAATTTCTCTCATGAGTGTCTTGTAATTTTCAGAGTATAGGTCTTTCACTTCCTTGCTAGGTTTATTCCTAGGTATTTTATTATTTTTGACGTAATTGTGAATGGAATTGTTTTCCTGATTTCTCTTTCTGTTAGTTCATCATTAGTTTATAGAAATGCAACAGATTTCTGTGTATTAATTTTGTATCCTGCAACTTTGCTGAATTCAGATATTAAATCTAGTAGTTTTGGAGTGGATTCTGCAGGGATTTTTGTACAATATCATGTCATCTGCAAACAGGAACAGTTTAATTTCTTCCTTGCCAATCTGGATGCCTTTTATTTCTTTGTGTTTGACTGCTATGGCTAGGACCTCCAGAACTATGTTGAATAAAAGTGGGGAGAGTGGGCATCCTTATCTTATTCCAGATCTTAAAGGAAAAGCTTCCAGCTTCTCACTGTTAAGTACAATGTTGGCTGTGGGTTTGTCATATATGGCCTTTATAATGCTGAGGTACTTGCCCTCTATACCCATTTTGTTGAGAGTTTTTATCATGAATGGATGTTGAATTTTGTCGAATCCTTTTCCAGCATCTATGGAGATGATCATGTCCTTTTTGTCCTTTTTGTTTATGTGGTGGATGATGTTGATGGATTTTCGAATGTTGTACCATCCTTGCATCACTTGAATAAATCTTACTGGTCGTCGTGGATGATCTTTTTGATGTATTTTTGAAGCTGGTTTGCTAATATTTTGTTGAGCATTTTTACATCTATGTTCATCAGCTATATTGTTCTGTAATTTTCTTTTTTTGTGGTGTCTTTGCCTGGTTTTGGTATTAGAGTGATGCTGGACTAATAGAATGAGTTTGGGGGCATTCCCTCCTCTTCTACTTTTTGGAAAACTTTAAGGAGGATGGGTATTAGGTCTTCACTAAATGTTTGATAAAATTCAGCATCTGGTCCAGGAGTTTTGTTCTTAGGTAGTTTTTTGATTACCAATTCAATTTCCTTTCTGGTAATTGGTCTGTTCAGATTTTCTGTTTCTTCCTTGGTCAGCCTTGGAAAGTTGTGTTTTTGTAGAAAGTTGTCCATTTCTTCTAGGTTATCCAGTTTGTTAGCATATGATTTTTCATACTGTTCTCTCATAATTCTTTGTATTTCTGCGGTGTCTGTAGTGATTTTTCCTTTCTCATTTCTGGTTCTGTTTGTGTGTAGACTCTCTTTTTTTCTTGATAAGTCTGTCTAGAGGGTTTATCTATTTTGTTTATTTTCTCAAAGAACCAGCTCCTGCTTTGATTGATTCTGTTGTTCTTTTCTTCTCGATTTTTTCTGCTCTAATCTTTATTATGTCCCTCCTTCTACTGACTTTTAGGCCTCATTTTTCTTCTTTTTCTAGTTTCGTTAATTGTGAGGTTAGACTGTTCATTTGGGATTGTTCTTCTTTCTTGAGGTAGGCCTGCATTGCAGTATACTTTCCTTTTAGCATGTCCTTCGCTGCATCCCACAGATTTTGCAGTGTTGAATTATTGTTGTCGTTTGTCTCTATAATTATTGCTTGATCTCTGTTTTTTTTTGTCATTGATCCATTGATTATTTAGGAGCATGTTGTTAAGCCTCCATGTGTTTGTGGGCTTTTTCATTTTCTTTGTGCAATTTATTTCTAGTTTCATATCTTTGTGATCTGAGAATATGGTTGGTACAATTTCAATCTTTTTGAATTTACTGAGGCTCTTTTTGTGGCCTAGTATATGATCTATTCTTGAAAATGTTCCAAGTGTACTTGAGAAGAATGTGTATCCTGTTGCTTTTGGTCGAAGTATTCTGTAGATGTCTTTTAGGTCCATCTCTTCTAATACATTGTTCAGTGCCTCTGTCTGTTTAATTATTTTCTGTCTGGTTGATCTGTCTTTTGGAGTGAGTGGTGTGTTGAAGTCTCCTAAAATGAATGCATTGCATTCTATTTCCCCCTTTAATTCTGTTAGTATTTGTTTCCCATATGTGGGTGATCCTGTGTTGCGTGCATAGATATTTATAATAGTTATATCCTCTTGTTGGACTGACCCCTTTATCATTATGTAAAGTCCTTCTTTGTCTCTTGTGACTTTCTTTGTTATGAAGTCTATTTTGTCTGATACAAGTACTGCAACTCCTGCTTTTCTCTCCCTATTATTTCATGAAATATCTTTTTCCATCCCTTTACTTTCAGTCTGTGTATGTCTTTGGGTTTGAAGTGAGTCTCTTGTAGGCAGCATGTAGATGGGTCTTGTTTTTTAATCCATTCAGTGACTCTGATTGGTGCATTCAGACCATTTACATTTAGGGTGTTTATTGATAGGTATGTACTAATTGGCATTGGAGGCTGTAGATTCATGGTTACCAAAGGTTCAAAGGTAATTCCCTTACTATCTGAGAGTCTAATTTAACTCACTTAGTATGCTATTACAGACACAACCTAAAGGTTCTTTTTTTTTTTCCTTCATTTTCTTCCTCCTTCATTCTTTATATATTAGCTATCATATTCTGTGCTCTTTGTTTATTCCTTGATTTAGTTTGGGGCTAGTTGATTTGAGTTTGCATCTGCTTAGTAATTAATTGTTCTGCTTTCTTTGCTGTGGTTTTATTTCCCCTAGTGACAGTTATTTAGCCTTAGGAATACTTCCATCTATAGCAGTCCCTCCAAATGCACTGTAGAGGTGGTTTGTGGGATGTAAATTATCTCAGGTTTTGCTTGTCTGAAAATTGTTTAATGCTTCCTCCAAATTTAAATGACAGTATTGCTGGGTAGAGTATTCTTGGATTGAAGCCCTTCTGCTTCATTGTATTAACTATTTCATGCCACTCCCTTCTGGCCTGTAAGGTTTCTGTTGAGAAGTCTGATGATAGCCTGATGGGTTTTCTTTTCTATGTGAGTTTTTTTCTCTCTCTAGCTGCTTTTAAAAGTCTGTCCTTATCCTTGATCTTTGCAATTTTGATTATTATATGTCTTGGTGTTGTCTTCCTTGGGTCCCTTGTGTTTCAAGATCTGTGCACCTCCATGACCTGAGAGACTATCTCCTTTCCCAGACTGGGAAAGTTTTCCGCAATTACCTCGTCAAAGACACTATCTATCCCTTTTTCTCTCTCTTCTTCTTCTGGTCCCCCTATAATGTGAATATTGTTCCATTTGGATTGGTCATACAGTTCTCTCAATATTCTTTCATTCTAGAGATCCTTTTTTTCTCTCTGTGCGTCAGCTTCTTTGTATTCCTCTTGTCTAATTTCTATTCCATTTACCATCTCTTCTCTCATCTAACCTGCTTTTAAATCCCTCTATTGTATGTTTCATTTCAGGTTTGGAATTTCTTAATGATTGACTCTCCATCCTAAATTTGTCCCTGAGTTCTGAAATATTATTCTGTACCTCCATGAGCATGTTTATGATTTTTATTTTGAGCTCTCTTTTGGGAATATTGGTGAGTGCAGTTTCATTTGGCCCTTTTTCTGGTGTTTGCGAGATTTTTGTTTGAACCAGGTTCCTTTGACATTTCATATTTTTACGTAGCACCCTCTAGTGCCCAGAAGCTCTAGTCTCTGGAGCTGCTCAGCCACTGGAGTGATGTCAGGGGTGACAGAGGAGCAGTGCTGGTGTCTGGGGGGAGGAAAGAGCTATTTCCTGCTTCCCACCTGCAGTGCCTGCACCGACTTTCAGAACCATTGGGCCAGCACACAGGTGTAAGCCTCTGTGCTTTGTGTCTGCAGCTGCCATAGGCGGGGCCTCCCTTTGGTTGGCCTCACACCAGGGCAGGGACTGCCAGTTTGCTAGTTGGTGCCAGCAGGCCAGGAGGAAGGCACAGCAGGCTGCGTATCAAAGTGGGGGGCCTTGGAGCTGTGTAGCCAGCCAGGGGCATGGAGCGCCTGAAGCTTCTGAAAGTTCCCAACCTGCTGGGCAGAGCGCGCCCAGACAACCTTGTCTTCCTATCCCTTTTCCTGCGCAGCAAGCTCCATGCAAACACTGTCCCTTCAGTAGCCCTCTTGTTGCTAGGAAGCCTCTCAGACCACCTGCCTTTCCTTTCTCCCAGAGCAACCAGATGTGGCTGCTCCACAAATCCTCCACAAATGGCTGGAATCTCAGTCTCTCCATGTATTTCACTTTTCTTAGCTTTCCAATCGCACTAATCTCCAGAGCACCATGCAATGTAGGTTTGTTCTCCCAAAGCAGATCTCCAGGGCTGGGTGTTTAGCAGTCCTAGGCTTCCACCCCCTCCCTGCTCTTATTTCTCTTCCTCCTGCCAGTGAGCTGCAGTGGAGGAAAGGCTTAGGTCCTGCTGGATCAAGACTTTGGTATGATAACATGTTTTGTGAGGTCTGCTCTGTTTTCCAGGTATATGCAGTCTGGTGCAGCCTTCTTTCCTATTACTCTTTTAGGATTAGTTGTTTTAATTATATTTTCATAATATATGTGGTTTTGGGAGGAAATTTCTGTCTCACCTCTCACGCCACCATCTCGAATCCGGTCTCTCACTTGGTTAACTTTTAAATGACAAAAAATCAAGCTACATATGCTACTTATTCTGACAGTTGAGGTAGTATCTGCTAGAAAAGGCTGTTTCATTTTTAAGTCTACTAGATTAATGAGAAATGAACTATTTACATTTGAACTGTGTTTTCTTTTGAAATCTGTTAATTGATATTTATGCACTGAACTTAATCAATTGTCCAATTTTGCATCAAAATCAAAAATTTTCATTCAACTCTTAAGCAGTTTGAAAGGATTACTTTCTTTTGATTCACCATAAAAGTAGACATACTGGGTTAGCAACATGTTGGATCTAGTCCAGTATTCTCTTTTAGCTAGTATGTGTGGAGAAGAATTATGATTTTCCTAGTTGGTAGCAGTCATTACCCTGTTTATTTTCTTAACTGCACTATCCCTTAATTATATTTTATTTTTATTACCTGTCTTTCCTGTACTAGAATGTAAACTCCATGAAGATAAAGATTGTCCATCTGAAGTTCACCTAGAACAATACCTGGCACATACTGTGCACTTCAAGCAATTTTTGTAGAAGTAATCAATTATGTAAAATTTCAGAAACTGAATTTTTAGGCTTCAAGTGGTTTCCCTAAAAGAAAGGGTTGTGTTGAACAACTCTGTGTTAACCAGTCCCCAGTCTTTAACATTCTGTAGACATCTAGCCTATCTTTGTGGTTCAGGTTTCATTGTTTGTTATCTTTGATACTTTTTGAAGGGGAGAAAAGGACCAGCATTTATTTTGATTTTTGTTACTGAAATATTGTTGATATAGAATCTTATATTGGTTTCAAGTATATAAAACAGTGGTTCAGCAGTTACCCATCTTATTAAATCCTTAAATCCCCACAAGTACAGTTACTGTCTGTCAACATAGCAAGATGTTACAGAATCGTTGACTATATTCTCCATGCTGTACTACTATCCCTGTGACCAATTTATATTATGATTGAGAATTTTTGTGCCCTTTTATCCCGCTCTCCCATCCACTTACTCCAGATGCTCCCCCATGGTAACCACCAGTCACTTCTCAGTGTCTGTGAGTCTACTGTGGTTTTTGTTCATTCTGTTTTGTTCTGTTTTTGTATTCCACAAATAAGTTGAGATCTTATGGTATTTGTCTTTCATCTCCTAGCTTATTTTATTTCACATATAATGCCCTCTAGGTCCAATATTTATTTTTAAAACCTCCAACAAGTCTGATATGGCACTAGTGATTTACATATATTATCTTATTTAATTCTTAAAACTGGGTATTTTTTTTAATTGAAGTATAGCTGATGCACAATCTTACATTGGTTTCAAGTATACAACACAGTGGTTCAACATTCAACTGGGTATTCTTTTCTTCATTTTACAAGTGGATAATTATATATTTAAGTTTTTATTTAGTTTTTTTACATATAGCCTATGCTGTATATAAACATTTTTTTAGCTGAAAACATGATTATATCCTAGAGTTTTTTGTCTTGATTTGATTTTGGTTAAGTTATCTTTTACTTCCTTCTCCTCTCATAGTTTGATTACTGTTCCTGAAATTTCTCCAGGTGCACTATTTTTTCTTAAGTGAAGTGATATAACTAATAAATAATACTCCAACTTAGGGCATACACTGGCATTTAATAGGTAGAATAGTAAATTTTTTTGTTTTATTTCAGTTACTTTCCTATTCATAGACTTCCTTTTTAATTTGTAGTTGGTAATTCAGAGGCTTCTTTATGAATCATTTATGTAGTTTTTTTCTAAATGTATAAGTGTATTTACAGCTTGTATGCTGCCTTTTTTCTCAGTCAGACTTCAGAATATTTTTCGTCCTTTTGTTACCAGTGTTTCCTTTCTCAGTAGACCCTATTACTTAGTGAAGATCTGAGATAGCCCACTGATCCAGCTTCCAAATAATTTATTAAAATGTTATGTAGAAGTACTTCCCATTTCCAATCACTAAGGCATGTCACTAGCTTTGCTCTTATATCCATATCAATGCCCATTTCTCTTTTTTCTGGTACCATGGCTAAACTGGTTTTTGATCCATGACAAAAATAGTCCCTTTTATGCATGTAGACTCAATTTTTAGTAGTATTTAAGCATACCCTATCTGACAGGCTCCTGAGAGTCTGAAAGGACTGCATCTAATAGTTTTTTCTCCTTAAGAGCTTTTCTTTAAAAAACTAAAGCAAAAAAACATGCTCCTTTTTTGTCTTTTGAGATGTTAGTACTATTTAGGTATTTAGTAACCCTATCTTTTTTTAGGGGATCAACTAGCTGGCCTGATACAGAGGTAAAATAGTTATGGTACTGGTCTTGTTGAAAGCCTACAAGTCCTCTAGCACAGTAGCCGTAGAGAATACATGTTATGTGTTTTGGTTCTATACTTGTGTTGTCAGATTTCTTCAGTACTCTTGAGTAATATATGCAGGTTGAATTTTTTGAAGAGTTATGGGATATCCTATATATTTGGTCAAGTAGTTCTATCCCATTTTCTTTAAAAGAATGGAAAATCTCTTCATTGTCCTCTTTAAACACAGAGAAGCTATTCAGTATTTTAAGTCTTCTCACCTCATGAAAAAATATCTTTTAAGCATTTTGGTATCCTCTATGAAAGGCATGGGACATACAGCACACTTGGTTTGATGGCTTAAGTAAATGAATGGATGAATGAGGAATCTAAGATTGTGTCTTCTGAAAGTGATTATAAACCAGATTCTTTAAGAACTGGAACTAACATGTATTCTTCAGAAATGGGTGCTGATACATAGTACAGATTGTATATAGGAAAATATTCTTAAAAGATACAAAGTATTGTTTTGTATTTGTCTTTGCCTTTGGGTGGAAATGTAGCATTTTCCTTTAAATATTTACAGGTAAGTGAAGAATTAGACTGGAATTTACTGAAACCAGATATTTATGCAACAATCATGGATTTTTTTGCATCTGGCTTACCTTTAGTTACTGAGGAAACATCTTCAGGAGAAGCAGGTAATTAATATTTATCTTTTTTTTTAACTTTCTATTTTCTTCACATTTGTCTTGATTATCTTGATTTCAGAGGTCATGAGAATAGATTTTTATCATTGTACTATATTTAGCTCTGAAACCAATTCCGGGGGAAAACACTTCTAGGTTTAACCATCAATTTTGAAAACTTGTATATAAATTGAATCTATTATACAAAACTAAATTTTTCAATTCTAAAGATTTTCAGACACATAGAAAATAATACAATGCTTACCAATTTGCCCTTCTCTCAGATTTAACAAATGTTAATTTTTTTGCCATTATTACTTTAGACCCTTTTATTTATTATTATTAAAGTATCATTGATATACAATCTTACAGAAGTTTGACATGACCAACATTGTTGTTTCAACATTCACCTATGTTATCAAGTCCTTACGCCACTGCCCCCACCGCTGCCATTTCAGTCACTGTCTGTCAGCGTGGTAAGCTGCTATAGAGTCATTACTTGATCTTAGACCCATTTTAAAAATAAAATATTAAAGGTATAGCCAAATGCCCACAATACCCATCCCATTTCCCTTTTTACTTCCACAGCGATGTATGTAAACTTGGTTTATTTTTAAACTTTTACTACACAGTTTAGTCTCTGCAGGGAAGATACGTATTGGTTTTTGTTCTTAAACTTTAAATAACTTGTTATATGCAAATTACCTTTTTTCACTGAGTGTAATGTTTTGAAATATATCCATTTTGAAAAAATAGAGTTCTAATTAATTTAAGTGCTGGATAGTATTCCATTATATGAATAAGCTGCAGTTAATTAATTTATTTATGTTCAAGTGAATTGTTTATGCTAATTTCTATTATAGACATTGCTGCAGTGGACACCCTTGTACAAATCTCTTTGTGATATAATTTTAAAATATTTCAGCAGTTAAAAGTAGAGAGTTTCTTTAGAGTATATTCCTAAAAGCAGAATTGCTATATTGTAAATTGTTTTAATTTACGTGCAAATTAATCAGTTTATAGGAATTTCACCTTTTTTTATCTTTAGCATTAATGTCTTTTACATTTTTTACCAATATCATAAGTATAAATGTTATCTCTTTTTAATTGCCTTTCCTTGATTACTTCTGGTCCAGAAGGTTTTCATATGTTTACTGGCTATTATTTTCCTTGTCAGTAAATTTCCTGTACATAAATCTTTTGCGATTTTTTTTAAGTTGAGTTGTATGTGTTTTTTGTATTGATTTTATCAAGTTCCTAAAAAATGTTTTGTGTATCAGTCCTTTATTAGGTATATTCATAACAACTTCTCCCTAAACATGTCTTATCTTTTCATTCAGGATATTTTTGCCATTGAGAAATTTTTCTTTTTTTTTACAAATTTGTGTGCCATCTTTGCTCAGGGGCCAGGCTAATCTTCTCTGTAAAATTCCAGTATTGGTGCTGCTGAAGCAAGCACAGTTTTTTCTTTTTAATGGAGCAACATGTATTCATTATTTTCTTTGTGTTTTGTGCATTCGGTACCATTTTTTAATAACTTATTTTGTGTGAAGCACTTGGAAGAGTGTGTTAGTGCACATGTAGCTCTAAGTATTAGCTATGACTATTTTGTTGTTTTTCCTTTCTCCAGTATCTATTGTTTTGTGTGTATGTGTATATGTATGTATGTATATATTTGTATAATCATCTCTAGATGATATATAGTTCCACTTCTAGATATATACCCTAAATGAGTCTTATAAATGTACACACAAAACAACGCCTGGAAGCATGTTCATAGAAATAGTTTTAAAATATATCAGCAGTAAAAAGGAATGAACTTGATTGGGATATATCAATGTGAAAAGATGTAAAAGAAATATTAATTGATTAAAGGAAAATTGAAGGGTATGTTTATTACATATTCTTACATACATACCACTTATGCAAACTTTAATACACCTGTAAATGTAAACATGTACCAGAAGGATATACACTAAATTCATGATAGTAGTTGCCTATTGAAGCGATGGTTGGGCATGGATTAGGTTTGCTAATATAAGAGAATTTTGGTTTTATTATATTCTACTACTTACATTAATAAAAGACTCATTTAAAATAATTTAGTATTGATTATTATTTTGTTATCTCCAGAACTCTAGTGTTTGTGATAGTGTAATTTAAATTATTTGCATTTTTAGTTTTTCCCAGAGGTAAATAAATTTCTCAAAACAGACTCTTTAGACCCATAGAAAGGCACTGGTGAATATAAGTATATATGTAACCTTACAAAGTAAAAGAAAAAAATAAAACAAATGAGAAAAAACAACTTTTTGCTCAGATTTGTAGAATATTTTGGAAATATCCATGGGTTTACATCTATATTTAGTATGATAATCATTTTGAAAACCACTCATTGAGAAATTGAAAATGAACAACTTACAAAGTGGTGTGTCTTTTCGTTTCAAAGTTTCCATCAAAATCTAATCTCTTTTCTCTGCTATTTTTCCATCCTTGAGAATGATGAAAGTTTACAAATATATTGGCCAAAAATTCAAACCCTGGTATCATTAGTAGACCAAGTTATTTCAGTATACTCGCCGTTATCTCCAAATGTTGCATTGATCAATGCTCCTTAATTTTTCTTGAGGGAATCAGATGATCTTTCCATTTCCCAAAAATCTTACATCACCACACCAAGTTACATGTTCTGTGCTTTTATTTTTCAGATGAGATATTAAATTAAAATAATTGTTTTATTACTTGTATTTCCGTGGATGTAAAAGTTCTACTGTTCATACCTTTTATTCATAATTATTTCTAGGATCTGAAGAAGACGATGAAGTTGTGGCAATGATTAAGGAATTGTTAGATACTCGAATACGGTATGTTCTTATCTTTCTGCCTGAGATCATATTATACTGCAGAGGCAGTTTTCATTATAACAGTATACTTGTAGTTGTGAGTTTATAGTAGACTTCCAAAATAACTATAAGTTAATGTAAACCAAAGTAGGTAACAATGACAGTTGAATTGAAAACTTGTACATATTCACTCAAAATTTTAAAAAACATATCTAAACATTGTCATGAAGGAATTTATCTTTCTCAGTTACCATTTGGGCTTGATATTTTTATAATACCAAGTTTCTTAGAAAGGAAAAATGACTTAAGCTGTGTTTGGGAGGATTGTTAGGGGAGAAGTAACTACCTGTTTTCAGGCTGTTGCCCATAAGGAATAAATTATAAGTGAGTAGAGAACTGCAGGCATCTGCTTTTGCTTGTAGCAGACCAACAGTTCTGCTGAGAACTCCCAGAAAAGCTAGATAAAATACAATTAAAAAATTTTGGTTGAAGGCATTAGAAAGCTGCTAAAGCAAAGTAGATTCTGCAGAGACAGGAAGTCTCAGCTTCCCTTGGGATATTTGCTGATTCTTGGTGTGAGGCTAGAGTATGAGAAGCTGGGCAAAGAGCAGCTGCTAAGAACCAGAGAACCCATTTAGCTGTCAGCACGTTTGTTGAGATGGGAAGACGAAAATTAAAGTTATCAGTTACCAATGAACCTTTGGCTTAAAGGGCCAAGATACTAGAGAGAAGAGAAATGAAGAAAACATAAGCCTAACACTCAGAGGTTCTCCTGTCTTGCTTATTTTTAGCTTTGTAGGGTGTAAGAGACTAAGAAGTCAAACAAAAAGCAGTTGGGAAGCTGAACAGAGTTTTGGCATCTTACAGTGCTGGGGTCGGGGGGCAACAAAAATTTGAGTTTAGGATTGTCAGGGAGGGTGGGGCCTCACCAATATACAGGCTCTCAGTTGGGTTTCAGAGGATTATACCCTTGAAATGGAGGCAAACCAGAGGTAGATCAGTCCTTATAAAATTGTCCAGTATTGAGTGAGCTTCATTCTGTAGTGGATTGAGCAGCTGCCTAAAGATAGAATGAATCCTTTCTGATGTAATATAATTCCTAATCACTACAGTTTTTCATATCCATTGCCTATCACTCAGTCATGAATTATTAGTTGTACATAGAAACTGGGCCAAGAGAAAATGAAAGAAATCCACAGGTAACCTAGATCTTAAGAGTTATCAGACACGGCCTTTAAAATGATTGTCATTAAAGTATTCAAGGCAATGGAAAACAAGATGAAGAATTTCATTAGAGAATTAGACTCCATAAGAAAACATAATTTAGGGACTAAAAAATATAACTGAACTTCAGAACTAGTTAGATTAGTTTAACATCACATTGGACATTGTTGAAGAGAAGATTAGTATATTGGAATAGAGGTCAGTAAAAAATACCCACATTGAAACACAGAAAAGAGAATAGAAAATACAGGAAAAAGCATGAGAGACATATAGTACACGACAGAAAAGGTCTCAAATGTCCTATAGGGTTTTTAATATGTCTAGAATTAAAATGTATGACAAAAATATAAAAGGTGATGAATATACTATAGAAGACTTTGTGTTATCTGGTAATTAGTAAAAGTACTAGTTTTAATAGAATCTGACTAGCCAAGTAGGCATTTTGTAGGGTAAACACTAAATAAATAATAAAAAACTATAACCAACAAGTCAATAGAGGGGGAAATTCTGGCATATTTATTTAATGGCATACTGTGCAGCAGTGAGGTTGAATGAACTACTACTACATGCAGCAGTGTGGATGAATCTCAGCAAAAGAAGCCAGGTGCAAAATTATAAATACTATATATATTTAAAATGGAATTTATATTTATAAATTACAAAGTTAAAAAAGAGCAAAACTTATTAATGGTGATAGCAATTAAGATAATGGTCACCTTTGGGAGGAGTGATTAGAAGAGAGCACAGGGGGTACTTCTGGGATGCTAGTGTTCTGTTTTTTGGTCTGGGAAAAATGTTCACTTTGCGAAAATCCACTGAATTGATCATACATGATTTATGCATTTTTCTATATTAAAGTTATACTTCAGTGAAAGCTTACCTGAAAAAAAACCCCAGCATGTGTCAGTCTCCCTCTTCACCCAAAAGAACTGAATGAGTGTATCTTAGGTACTATCACTGTTAGAAAGTTTGAAATTTTAAATGCTTAAAAAGATTATTGATAAGATTAAAATGTAATAAGTAGAACAAATGTTGTACTAATGAGTTTTGACATTTTACTGAGAGTTAAAAAAAATTACAAATGAGACTAGCTGTAGTTACTGTTCTCTATTGTAAAAGTACCTCTAATTTTGTGAATTTTAACAACATAAAATCTAAGTTCTCAGTTGTATTAAATTGACAAAAACTTCTGCTCTTTTACATATGTCACAAATATTCTGTGAGCATAGGCCAACTGTGCAGGAAGATGGAGGAGATGTAATCTATAAAGGCTTTGAGGATGGCATTGTACAGCTGAAACTCCAAGGTTCTTGTACTAGCTGCCCCAGTTCGATCATTACTCTGAAAAATGGAATTCAGAACATGCTGCAGTTTTATATTCCAGAAGTAGAAGGTGTAGAACAGGTATGCAAGTATTATATGGCATTTTTAATTCAATATTAAAATAAATACTCAAAAAGAAATTCATGAGGTGACACTTTCTTTAAGGGGTGGATTTTGTGTTGCAGTTGTTACCACACTTGAAGGCTCCTAATTTTAGAATTAACTTCAGTGTTATTACTGCCTGCTACGTGGCAGGCATTCTTACAAATATTATCTTGTATAATATTTTACCAACACAGTGTATTAAGTGAGTCATTCCCATTTTGTACATAAGGAAATTGAGACTCAGAGGGCATCCTGCTGCTCTGTTACAGAAAAATTCTGAAAAGGGGATTCAAAACATGGAATTTTTATAGATGAGATTTATAAGTCTTTAGTGGAAGAGCTCCACTACATCATATTTAGCCACTTCTTGTTCTTAAATGTGCAAGCAGGAAACTCATTGAGAAATCATACTTGTACAGTAAAACAGTACTGAGTAAAGTTAGAGTTTTATCTATAGCCTATGTCAGCATTTTTTCTGCCCCAAGATACCTAGAGAACATAGCACAGCACCTTCCAGCAGTAATAATGATTCTCACTGCAGTGATTCTCAGCCAAGAGGCATGGCTTATGGAGAGAGATTATCAAGGAGGGAAAGAATGTATGGAAATCAGAATGTGAAAAAAACTCTTCAGGTAATTCTGTACCTTTAAGGAGAGGACATCTCCTCTTAGCTCCTTTGAGAATCATGCATCTCTGGGTAGTATTAAAACCTGTCCTTTTGATACAATACATGTCATCTCCTCTTTAAAGTCTTTATCAGTCCTCTGCTTGAAGCTGAGCTCTCCTTTGGTTCAAAGCCTCTTTCTGTGTACCTGGTTCAGCTTATGTTTATGGGTAAGTTCCTTGAGGGACTTATAATCATATCTAGGTCTTTGTGTTCCTCTGCAGCACTTAGTCCTGTGTGCTAAATATCTTCTATACATAGTTTATATTAAGTATTTGGAGATATTATTCCAAATTTAGAAATAATTCTGCCTAAAATAACGAGTTGATTGACAAAATTCTTTGTATTGGGTATATAAAATATTAATTCCATTTGTACTCAACCCAAAAGAAACTGAGAGAATTGTTTTTTCATTATTGTCTCAGATCAGAACCAGTTTCTTCTAGACTTTTTTTAAACTTATTTTTGTTCCATTTTCCTCTGTATGCCTTTTTAAAAAACTATATTACTTGACACTTTGGTGGATTGATGTTTCTATTCACTTGCCCAGGGTGGTGTGTTGAATTGACAATAAGGTTATAAATTTAAATTGACACTTGATTGTAGTAGGTGTGGTGAAGAGAAAAAAAGTTCTTAGGTTTTTATAACTCTTTTCCTCCTGAAAGGAATTGGTCTTTTTTATCTGAGTAATATATTAATTCATGAAAAGATACTGATCTTTTCATTTTTTTCTTCAAATATTCATTAGTATTTTTCTTAAATTACTAGAAATGAAAGCCTTCACAATTTTTCTTGGATTTAAAATAAATTTTTATCTGAGTAAGACCAAAATAATTAGTTGCTAGTATGATACTTTGTTCCTTCACTTTTTTTAGGGGTTCATTTTTATAATATATAGTTTTATAGTAAGAGTTTGATATAGCTCCTCCCCAGAATATATTTAAGTAAAAAAAGTGCTTTTGGGAAACAAAAAACTAAAAAGAGTCACTTACATTAATCTTATAGCTAAGAAATACCAGTTAATCATTATCATCTCTGTCTAGCTAGGACTCTGCTATTGAAAGCCTCTTTTCAGGCAAGAAAGAGAGACTGGTGCTTTAATTAATTTGCTGTATTCAATTTGCTTTTATGTTGTTAGGGTAACAGGTTATGATGCAAACCTTGTGCTTTGGGGGCTTTTGATAGATGTATTCTTATTGTTATAGAATGTTATATGATATTCATGTTATAACAATGACGTGAATTGGTATATGGTATAATGTAAAATCAGGAAAATAGCAATGTCTAATCCTAACTTAAATTCTTTGTTTTTGTTTTTTTGTTTTGTTTTAGGTTATGGATGATGAATCAGATGAAAAAGAAGCAAACTCACCTTAAAATAATTTGAGTTTTCTTTTGGCCCAGTAGTCGGACTTGTTGATAATATTATATACCAAGCTTTTATCTGCTAAGGAACTTGAGGATAATAAAATAGACAAATAGGCCCTTTCTTTAGAAATATATAAATATTGAATGTTTGTTTTACCTCACGTGAGTTATTAATAACATCCTGAATCATCTTCTGTGCACGTGGATTTTACCCAGGGTATTTTGATTTTTGTTTTTCATTTCTAATAGTTCCTTCTTTGCATAATATGTGAAGCAGTTAAAAATACATCTTCTCCCATCTATTAAATACAGAAGAGTGAGAATATCTTTAAAAATATGCTAACATTACTTAGCTTTTTGTGAGATGTTTGAAACTATTTTTACTGAATTTTCACATTGGTAAAGACAAAAACAACAATTCTGGCTTAAAAATGGTGCCTGGCTAGTAGCCGCCAGGGTAACAGCATGTAACTTCTCATTAAAAGACATACATGCACATAAAAATTTACAGTGCTGAAAACTGATAAAGAACCAAGTTCCAGAATATAGACAAAATATTCATTGATTATAAGACAGAGCAGGCTGAATTGAGAAAAACTGCTTTAGCATGCTCAGGCTTTATCCTTGGAGCAGAATCTCTCTGAAAAAAAGGTGAGAAACTGCTTTGGTCCTTCTTCCACTGTCTTCTCCTGACTCAGAGATATGTAATCTGTGTCATGCCAGAAATTTGGACAATTAGATACTGCTTCTTCAAATAGCCAAAATAGCAAGTTATCCTTCTCTCTCATTTTTCTGTAGTACTTCAGAGACAGTAGTTCACAGACAATCTCAGGAAAGGAAAGATAGTGAAATAGCAGTGTTACATTGTATCCCTGGAATTCTGGTCCCCAAAGTTTAAAAAAGGGATGGGAACAGAACTCCAGCAGTGGTGGGTGCTGGGTGGGGATTGAAGTTTTTATTTGTGTCCTCTGTTTCACAGAATTAGACAGCAGATTTGCAGAATTTGTTCCCTGAGCTATTACAGATGCATTCAGGTTAGACTGGGAATTGCTTTGTAACTTAGGCACATTGCCTGTTCTTTAGCTGAACATACAGGAAATTAAGATGCTGGAGAAGATTCAGTTAATGACAAGTTTTGGGTGTGGCCATGAAATAAGTGGCCTAGGTGATTAGGGGTTTAGATCATTGGAAGAGAGGAAATCATGGACCTGATACGCCAAGGTATTGGATTTTTCCAGAAAAGGGAGCAGCCATGAAGAACAAGAAGGAAAGATGAGGAAGAACACTAGACATACAGAGCAGTATAAACAGCAGCTGGAAGCTGGGAAATGTATTTGGGAACTGCAAGAAGCTAAGTGTGGCTTGAGTGTAAAGAAGTGCTTAGCTGGAAATGGTACAGAAGTAGGCAGTGGACAGTATGGAGAGCTGCACGAGCTCTTGGTTGCCTACCCAACACCCTTGCTTCAGAGAGAGGCCCTCAATTGTCTGATTGCAATGTGCCCAGGGAAGGTTGGTCCTATCTCATTCCCAGAGGATAAATTATAACTAGTCTAAACCAGTCATTTCAACTACTTTTCTCTTTGTCAGTCATTAGTTTAGATATGGACATATGACCCAGTTCTGGGCAGTGAGTTATGAGAGAAAGTACTGGTGTGTTTTAGAAAGATTTTCTTCTCTGATTGACAGACAGTAAATCTCTGTAAACATGGCTCTTTTCTTACCCATTCCTTTCCTTCCTGCTTGGTACACTGTAGAATGAAGACTTAATGTCCAAGGTTATAGCAGTCAACTTATAATTATGATGAAAAGCCAATCCACTCAGAATGGCAAAGAGCAAGGAAAAAAAGGTCCTGGATCCTTGAGGACATTATTGACCTTTGAACCAGCCTAGGAACCACCCATTTTCCAAGTGTCATGTGAGATAAAAGGTTTCTTGTTATAGTGACTGTTGTCAGATACTCTGTCACTCGAAGCTGATTGCCTTCTAACAAAAGAACCTGGCAGATCATAGATGACTTGGTAAATAATTTTGCTGCTTTTTTTATTTGTAGCAGACAGTGTCAAATGTTGACCATAAAAAGAAATGTAAACATTTTTTTAATTGAGCCATTTTTTCTATCAAAGATTGATTTAGAAGTTGTAGTTAAATCAGATAATGGTTTTTATTTTTGAATATTTAGATTATACTTAATTTTCTCCTGTATAGTCCCAAAGGAAGAAAGTAATAATTTACTATTAGTTGTGTTTAGCTAAAACAAACAAGTTAACACCCCAAAATACATCTTTTTACATGAAATATTCTTGAAGACACTATAAATATAAAACATTTCAATAGCTATTTGAAACTGGCCAAGAGTAAGCCAAGCACTTGGAAGATTTTTTTACTAACCAAAATTAGATGAAGCCCCATACAAAATGCTAAGGAGCAAAATATACAAAAATAACAAACTTTCATTGAGCATTCACGATGTGGCAAACACTATTGTAAGCATCTTAAAAAATTTATGAAGTCATTTAATTCTATGAGATGCGTAACTGTTATTGTCCCCAGGAGGCATGGGAAGAAAAAGTATGTTCCACTCTCATAAAAGTGGAAAGTCCAGGAACCAGAACCCTGACATTATGGCTGCTGAGCCTGTGCACATTGTTGCTACACCATTTTGCCTTGAGGCAATTGGACCCACCTGCCTCTCCTGAGTATTCCTACCTAAGGGAGGAGAGAATTTCCTGCCTTCACTGGTGCTGTTTTCCAGTGGATAGAAATGTTTTATTTGCTCCAGACCAAAATGGGCCAAAGCAGTGGTATATGCATGTATGTCCATTTTTTAATGCAGGAATATGAAGCTAGCTGCTCTCCAGTTAAGTAGGAATTTATATCCCTTCAGGAAAACCCAGTTTTATACACTATTGCCCCACATCAGAGTTATCTCTATGATAAATCAGTAGGGTGCTTATAGGTTGTGCACAAATGACTTTTGTATCCCCTCAAAGAAAGAGTATTTTTTCTGTCACCTTCCATTTCTAGTGATCTTTCAGCTCTAGGCAGCTCCCTGAGTGGTCCACCTCTATTCTGGCTCTGATCACAACCTGCAGCACAGAAATAGTACAGAGGGCCAGTTAATCTCATGATATCCAATTGTTGATGATTTCTTTCTAGCAGAACTGGAAAACTCTGCCCCAGGTTCTGCCTACTGGGAGAATTTGGAGGCACCCTAAAGAGTAGTAGTGGGGAGTGTATTCTAGTTGGCTTCAGCATCCTTTGTTCTCAAGCCTGAGGTTTCCTGGTGGGTCATTCAAGGCCTCTCACCTGATCATGGACATGTGTCTCCTTGGTATTTCTCCTTCATTCTTTTATGACACCTTCCCATTTCCTTTAAAGAAAAGGGCTCTGTGACTCTGATGGAACTGTCCAATCACCGTGGCTTGTCCTCTTTGCCACAGGAGAGGGGCATATGTCACACTGGACTGACCAAAATCCTTGCCTAGAATATACAGAATTGGAATATAGGAATAGCTTTTCCTTCAACTACAAGCTGCTAAGATGTGATTTCAGAGCCGTTTGAGGGTCATTTCCCTGTGCATTAAGATAGAGAATCAGATTGCTGATAACATTGTTTGTGTCTTTAGATATAGATGGGCCTGAAGCTGTATCCCTGTCCTTTCCAATTACATTAGTCAGTAAATCCCCTTTTTTGGCTAGTTTGGGTGGATTTTTGTTATATCATTGAAAGTTATATCCTCTAGAAATGTAAATAAATATATTCGCCATTGAGGAAATCAGTAAGATCAACACTAAGTAGATATATTAAGGTTCTCCAGAGAAACATAACCATGTATATATAGAATATATATGTATGTATAGGACATATATGTATAACACACACATATATATACAGAGAGAGAGATTGAAAGAAACGTTTGTTTCAAAATATTGTCTCATGCAATTATGGAGACTGGCAAGTCCAAAATCTGCAGGGTTGTCTGTCAGGCTGGAGAACAAGGGATGAGCTGGTGTTTATAGTTCAAGTCCAAAGGCTGACTGCTGGACAATTCCTTCTTCCTCCAAGGGGGTCAGTCTTTTGTCCTATCCCATCAAAACTTGCATTTCCTTAGTGACCTTTCACATCTGGTACCCAAGTGAAAAGTAACCCTATAGTTTCACTGTAGATGATAATGACTTAATGTAGATCTCTTGGGGGAGGGGGATGTGTTCTGTGTAACACATGTACAGGTGGAGTTTAGGAAATGTGGTAAGGAGTGAAGGTAATTTTAGACAAGGGAACTTTCTGGTTCCTTTAAAATCCCATTTTGTGACTTGTCCTCTATAGTCAAGCCCTAACTATTTAACATCTGGTTCCCTTGTTAATGCTTTTTTTCAAAAAACAAATGCAAAAAAGATGGAAAAGTTTGAGATCGCAAGTCCTTTTTTAGGGAACTGACAGTAGTTCGGATAGCTAGACCAGGGGATTTGAACAGAGTGGTGGGAAATGATGCTAACACACTGGCAGGAATGAGATCGTGACTAACCATGTGTGTTGTGTACATTGGTGTCTGGACATAGTTCTGCATGTGAAGGCTACCCCTGTATTGAAAGCAGGAAGAAACAGGATCAGATTTGTGTTTCTGGAAGGTCACTCTAGAGTGAAGATTTATTGGATGAGTTAGGGAACTGGTGGAACCAAGGGGTTTCATTTAAAGGGTCTTTCTGAGGCCCTGGCTGGTGCCATTTGTTCTTGTGTTCATTTCTTCTGATGTCTAATGGGCCTTAGTGGCTCAACCCGTTTTTTGCTTTTTGTTTTTTTTGATATATACTACAGTCTTCTCTCTCCACTGGGGTACATTTCTCCACAAAACTCCCTAAAAAGTGGGACATATATGCCTCTGCTCTCCATATTCTTGTTATGCACTGGATTTTTTTTGAGAAATAATGACACACATTAGTTTCAAGTGTACAATATAGTGATTGATATATGTATAGATATCAGTATATATAGTCTCATTAATATCTGTCACTACATTATCAATTTTTTGTAGTGTGATGAGAACTTAAAAGATCTATCTACTCTCTTAGCAACTTTCAAATATATTTAACTATTACTTAATATAGTCACCGTCCTATACATCCCCAGGACTTACTCATTTCTATTTGGATGTTTGTACCTAGGCATTTTTTATTTGAATCACGTTAGTGTTGTTTATAATTGGAATTCAGATAGGGAATAACAAAAAGTTACAAGCATGGGGAGGGGACATTTACAAACCTGATAAAGCTATTTCTTTAGAAATGGCAACTGGAAGCCCTGATGGCCCAAGGGCCCATCAGGCTGCATGGCAAGTAGACTGAGAGCCATCAGATTTAATAGGACTAATCTGTGAACAGGGATGGACTTACAGAAAAAATGATGAATGACATCCTTTACCATCATTACTTTTTTCTAAGCTTAGTTAGTTTAGAATTTTGCAGGAGAGAAAATCATTTCCATTTTCTTAGATGCTTAAATTAGACCCAGAAGTTCACTTTTCTTCATAGGTCATTTATTTTCTTCTCCTCCAGTCCATGTTCCCAAAGGTCCAGCTAAGGCAAAGCTCCATATAGATGGGGGTCAGATAAAACAAAGTTCTTCCTTGTCAGTGTCTTGACTGGTTTGTGGTTACAAAGGGCTCTTTGTTGTGGAGGGTTTGGTGAGTTTGTTTAAGGTCGGGTTGGGAAAATACTGGCCTTCAAAGTTTCTTCCTCTTCACTGGTGCATAAGCACCTTCCAAAATACCTGTAGAATGCAGATGGACAGGACAAACTGATAGTGATGGTGGAGTAACAAGCAGCACAAAAAAGCAAGGGGTTCAATAGACTATAGTTTAAGCATGATAAATCTGGTGATACTACTGGCATTTTCTTTGTGGCAGTGCCAGGTTTGCTTGCAGTGCATGAAGGTATTGTTCAAACATTGGAACCATACCTTGACTTCTTGGCAATATCACTGAGGTCTTACCAGAACCTCTTAGATGAGGGTTCTGTGTCTAAGGTGTATATCTACAGAGAATTTTGCCTCTTGAATTAAGAAATGTGTTGTTTATGTAACAGCTCACTGTTTATTTTAACTTTGTGTGATTTAAGGACCTATTTAAGGGCCTGAAATATTAAAGGTCTTTCAAGTTAGAAATAACTTATGTTAAATATGACATATTCCAGCTTCTTTTGAGGCCAGTGATAAGGCATTTTTCTTCCCCTCTAGAAAAAATTGAAAAGCCTTTTTCTAATATAACCAGCCATGGATATTTTTTTTGAGAAATAATGACACACATTAGTTTCAAGTGTACAATATAGTGATTGATATATGTATAGATATCAGTATATATAGTCTTATTAATATCTGTCACTACATTATCAATTTTTTGTAGTGTGATGAGAACTTAAAAGATCTATCTACTCTCTTAGCAACTTTCAAATATATTTAACTATTACTTAATATAGTCACCATCCTATACATCCCCAGGACTTACTCATTTCTATTTGGATGTTTGTACCTAGGCATTTTTTATTTGAATCACGTTAGTGTTGTTTATAATTGGAATTCAGATAGGGAATAACAAAAAGTTACAAGCATGGGGAGGGGACATTTACAAACCTGATAAAGCTATTTCTTTAGAAATGGCAACTGGAAGCCCTGATGGCCCAAGGGCCCATCAGGCTGCATGGCAAGTAGACTGAGAGCCATCAGATTTAATAGGACTAATCTGTGAACAGGGATGGACTTACAGAAAAAATGATGAATGACATCCTTTACCATCATTACTTTTTTCTAAGCTTAGTTAGTTTAGAATTTTGCAGGAGAGAAAATCATTTCCATTTTCTTAGATGCTTAAATTAGACCCAGAAGTTCACTTTTCTTCATAGGTCATTTATTTTCTTCTCCTCCAGTCCATGTTCCCAAAGGTCCAGCTAAGGCAAAGCTCCATATAGATGGGGGTCAGATAAAACAAAGTTCTTCCTTGTCAGTGTCTTGACTGGTTTGTGGTTACAAAGGGCTCTTTGTTGTGGAGGGTTTGGTGAGTTTGTTTAAGGTCGGGTTGGGAAAATACTGGCCTTCAAAGTTTCTTCCTCTTCACTGGTGCATAAGCACCTTCCAAAATACCTGTAGAATGCAGATGGACAGGACAAACTGATAGTGATGGTGGAGTAACAAGCAGCACAAAAAAGCAAGGGGTTCAATAGACTATAGTTTAAGCATGATAAATCTGGTGATACTACTGGCATTTTCTTTGTGGCAGTGCCAGGTTTGCTTGCAGTGCATGAAGGTATTGTTCAAACATTGGAACCATACCTTGACTTCTTGGCAATATCACTGAGGTCTTACCAGAACCTCTTAGATGAGGGTTCTGTGTCTAAGGTGTATATCTACAGAGAATTTTGCCTCTTGAATTAAGAAATGTGTTGTTTATGTAACAGCTCACTGTTTATTTTAACTTTGTGTGATTTAAGGACCTATTTAAGGGCCTGAAATATTAAAGGTCTTTCAAGTTAGAAATAACTTATGTTAAATATGACATATTCCAGCTTCTTTTGAGGCCAGTGATAAGGCATTTTTCTTCCCCTCTAGAAAAAATTGAAAAGCCTTTTTCTAATATAACCAGCCATGGAAAGTCAATTCTGCTAAGAACGTATGGCTTTTTTTCACCCATTCAAAAACATTTTTGGTCCTTTACTTTGTGCTAGGGTTTACACTAGGTGTTGGGTATGCAAGGACTTGTTCTAGCCTCAAGAAACTTAGCCTAGAGGGAAATACACAAAAAGTAATACAATACCAAAGCATATTGCTTTAAAGGGGGAAGCTCAAAGAATGAAAGGTTAATGCACATCCTTAAGTCTGTCTGGGGAGACAAAATAGGTTTTCCCCAAGAGCTGGCATTTAAGTAGAGGTGAGGTGGGGATTCCACCAACAGTAATCAATGTGTGCAAAAGATTTGAGAATGTTGGTCCAGCTGGAAAACTGGCTAACATGTGTTGGATTTTCAAGGGCTGGAAGGTGGAGTAGGAGGAAAGCAGTAATGTGAGGTTAAGACCAGACATCCGGTGTCAGAAGTCCATGCCATGTTCTATATGCCATGCAAATTTTTATTTTTTTCTAGTATAGAGCTATTAATTGAGTTATGATAACCATCTACGTTTGACTGAAGATACCACTTAAACCTCCGTAAACCAAATGCTCAGGTAATAAATTCTCAGAAACATCATCTTTCGCTGATTACGTCTCTTTTGGCAGCAAAGGTGCATTAATTCACAGAATCTTTCATGAGTCAAATGTAAGGGTGTCAAACCTAGGCAATTCCTACAGTCCTTTCAGGTGGGTGTTGGAAGTCTGGGCCAGTAGCCTTTAAGCCTATGGTGTTGGATTGTTGAGCCTTACGTTCTCTCCCAACTGTCTACTGCAAAAAAATTGGGGGTTAGGGAAGCATTGGATGGTTTTGGGAATAATGGGGTGCGCAGGGCTTTTGGAGGCCGAGCATGTTACATTGAGCCTAAGTAGGAACTGACTGACTGCCTGCCACCAGAGACTGGCCAAACCTCAGTGGCGCTTTGCAGGCAAGAATTTTGGTACTTTGCTCCCCTCACCTCATTCAGTTCTTTGTAATTTTCTTCAGCCTCATGACTCTTTTCCACCCTGACTTGTCTGTTTGCCCCCCAGGATCCCTTTTGAGGCCTCCTGCTTCCTTCCTTCTCTTTCCGCTCTTAGTGGGGTGCCGGAGCCTGGGGCCTTGGACAACACTGGGCGCCTGGCTTGTCTAAAATCCCATCCTCCTTTTTCCTTATCGTTCCGTCATTCTCTGCCTGCCACCGAGTTTCTTCCTCCCCGTTGGCACGGTCCCTCCTGCTGTTTGCCCGGGGGCCAAGCGGCTCCAGGAACCACAGGCGGATCCGGCCGCGGGCGAGTGCCACGTCTCCGCTGCCAGCAGGCCAGCGCCTGCGTGGGCCCGGGGGCGGTGCGGGGAGGCGGGATCTGCGTGTGAGCGGCGCGGATGACACCCAATGGGACCTGCAGAAGGCGGCGGCGGCGGCGCGCTGCGCGCCGAGGGGCGGAGCCCGGTGGCAGTTGCTGGCGAGCCCGGGAGGCCGAGAAGGTGTCGTTGGCTCCGCAGTCGCATCCCCAGGGGAGTCGTGTTGGCGTCCTCCTGGCCCCCAAGCCCGCCGATCGCCCCGGAGACTAGTGTGTGCGCGCTCCCGGCCTCGCCCGCTGTTCTGCGTTCGCCGTGTGGACTGTGCGTCCGGCATCATGTGCGGTAAGGGGACCGCGGTCGGGGGGCGTGTTGCGGGCGTTGCTGAAGTGAGGCGCCGGAGGGAGCGGGAGTGTGGAGAGTGTGAAGTCTGGGTGCTGGGGGCGCGAGCGGGGGCGGGGGTACACCTGGGAGAGCACCTGAGAGGAGGGCGGGCCCAACAGGGGACTTTGGGGGCAAATGGGGCGGCTTCGCGCGGAGAAGGGAACCTAGAGGGAAGAAAAATGTGTATTGAAAAAGGAGAGACGTCTGAGGGAATTGAGGTGTGGAGAGGGATGCCTTCTAGAGAGCCCACCAGGTGAGTGAGGCAACCTGTGGAACATCATGTGAGGTCTCTCGAACTTATCTTGCATTATTCTCGGATTTATTTTTTTAAAAATATTTATTTTTAGTTGCTCTATTTCGGGCAGGCCCAACAGAAAATACAACTATAGCTAGAGCTACGACAATGGCTTTACACATGATCTTACTACTTCCTGCCACCCCCTGTCTCAACAGAAACCATTGCTAATCAATAACTTGGTAAACGGGCTTACACCCTATCGTCTGGTGACAGAGGTCCGAAAGTGACTGTGGCGGTAGATCATCGATCATTTGTCACTCGCACCCATTTAAAATACTTATGAAAAATATTGGTTTAAAGTATTTAATGAATGTTTTACCTAAAACAGTTAAAACATGAAGTTAAGCCCTATTATTGCACGCTTTGAGACAGGTGTTTTAATATTACCTGAAAGTGTTAGTAAAAGGGAGTGACAGAATTGTATCTAAAATGACTGATACGCTGTAAAATTGGTATTGACTTGGCCTTATCAGTAAAAAGAACTGTGTTGTACCTTGTTGAAATTTACAACTGATTTTACACCCCTGGAAGAAATAACACTTTTTAAAGGGAAGTGTGATTGTAACTGAATTGAAGCTATCTGGGAGATTTAATTCTTTGTTAGCCTTTTGCAGGAAGAACTGAGCAGGAGGTGGATTGTACTCATTAGTGTAAATTTTTCCTGTATTTAACTTTATGCTAATTTCAGTTTCTGAAAATGTGGAGATTTAAATTTAAAGCAGATCAAAAAAAAACCACACCCCAAAACAGAAACACCTATAAATGGCTTGCTGAAATAGAGTAGAGCTGACTTTAAAATCAGTTATACTTTTGCTATGTCTTGTTTGTAGAGTGGTTTTTGAGGAAACACATAATTTAGTTTGGAGCTGTGAAGTAGTGAATTTGCAAACTGGTTAATCTCCAGTGTGCTTCCTGTGGTAATTAACTTTTCCTGAACAAGGAATTGTGTGTCTAGTCAAGTACTTGGCTTTCTGGTTGCAGGTCATTTTATCATGTTGTTCCAGGGGTAAAAAAAAGTCAGAAGTACTACAAAAGAAAAAAATTCAAATCTGGTTTAGAAAAGGTTCAGATAAGGGCGAGGCTTTTAGGGTGGAGGCTAGATGTTTGGAGTTTTTCCTATAGCCACCATCCCCACCTCATAGGGTTTACTGCTAAGGAAACTGTCGGGTTATAAAGAATAAATAACTGGTATTGGAGACATTTCCAAGGTTCTGGCTTTTAACTCAGACCAGAGTTTTGCATGATTCCAGGAGTAGGGTACAGAATTTGTTTCCTCCTTAAGGTAAACCTTGAAAGTTAACTGATAAAGAAAACAAGAGTTGCTCTTGATTTCCTCCCACATCTTAATCATTGAAGTAAAATTTCTAGGCAGAGAAATTGAGTGGGAATGAAATTAAGATGGGAAAATTTAGAGATTTACCTTCTGTTTGCCTGCTGCCTACTCAGGTTTTTCTAAAGGATTATTGTTTCAGCATGCAAATGTTGAAACAGAAAAGTGAAGGCTGATAATTCTGTGATAATGCGTTTTCCATTTAAATACGCTGATAAAACTTCCAAGTTTATCAGATTGTTTTGGGTTGTTAATAGTGTTAATCAGAAAAAAAAAGTTCCGGTGGTTAAATTTGGTAAGCAACAGATTAGACAATACTGAACTGGCATTTTTTATTGGAGGACTTCTTGGGACCTTCAGTGGGCTGATAACAGTTACGAACTTCCCAGAGAAGAACAGTGTATCTGTTTTCCAGATTTATCTTCTTATTCTTGGTTCTTTGGAATATACTTTGTCCTTTTTTATTTGTACCACTTTTGGTTTTGGTGAGTGTCATTTATGCTACCCATAGTTTTGAATAATTTTGCTGTTTTTTTTTATAAACACGGAGTTCCCTTTTGTTTTTTCTTGATTTTTTTTTATTACCGAAAAATGCTTCATACTTAAATTTAGCTGTCGGATTCTGTACTTGTGTCTTCAACACAATTTTCTTCTCCTCAGTAAGGAAAGCATGGGTGATCCTATTACAGACTTGGAACCACCCTAGGCCCTGTTGACATGTTTCTTTCATTTTAGACAATGCTTAAGAACTAGGTCTCACAGCACAAAAACCTCAGAGTTGACCTGGGCACATAACACATGTGATTTTCATGTTTTCCCCAACCTTCTTGGTATAAAGGTAAACAATACTATTACCAGAGGTATGGGAGAACCTAGTTTTGTTAGAGTCTATATTGTAGGATAGCCTATGACAGTAGGTCAAACTGGACCATTCTGAATGCCTCTAGACACCATCCCTGGAAGATTGGGTTATACCCTTCTGATCCGATGGTATATATAAATGAAACTTTTGTAAATGAGGTCATATTTAAAAGTAGTGATTGGCATGCTATTTAAAAGTATTTTGGAACTTGAATCCTTAAAAGTTTTATGTAATTATATTGTCTGATGGCTTTGTGGGTAACTGAGGAATACTGAGATTGGCTGCTAGGATAAACCATAAAACCAGTACTGTTAGCTCATCCTTAGAAGTCATACTGGATATAAAGTAGTTGTGAAAGAAAAAAATGAATTGCTTAATAAGCATTTCCTCAATTGTGTTCCCTGGAAAGGGAGAATTTAACACGTGCTGGCAATGAGCAGTAGAGGTAGAAAAGAGTTTTATACACACAGGTTGGAGCAATTCTGCACATGGAGATTCACAATTGGCAAAACTAAAGATTCTATGAGGTTCTTTTTTTTTTTTT